TATTACTTAATTAATTGTCAGTAGAAAAAAAAAAAATTTTAGAACTAGTAAATATAATAATTTAATTGTAATTATCAATCTTGTCTTTAGCGCGAGATCACGTAAGTTCTATACTTAAGCCATATAGTGTTAGCTTTGGTTTGAGGTTTGGCCGCAGCAAGCCGCATGTTTGCGGTATTGCTGTCGGTGCTCCGGAGAGTACATTCTAACCCCCCTCCTCTCTCACTCTGCAAATCTATATTCACCCCTCTCACTCTCTCTCTCTCTCTCCCCCGACTGTTCCGGTGAAGGCTTCAAGCTCAACGCGAACAATAGACGATAATCGCTACATCCGCAAACATTACCAGTCAATAAGGACAACGTCTTTTATTAAACTGTATATCGTTAATCGTTAATTAAATTGTATATTAAATTTATAATCCAAATTAAAATCAAAAGTTATTATTGCTTTAGAAATTGTGAACCAAAAAATTTCAGAAAACAAAATGAGAGTCAACTTATAAAAATTCAGACATTGATCTGGAGAGAGCAAAAAAGGGGAATTAACGAACCTCTCGAGAATACGCGACGACTCCATAACAACAACAACCCTTAAGATCAATTGAAAAATCGTTTCAGCCTATTGATGAAAAATCCACTAAAGAAATAAATAAACAAATTAATCAATTACAACAAAGAGTCATATCGATTATTATTATTTCCGCTTCACAAATTGTCAAAGTATTTATGATAAAGATGTTTGGGAGATTTTCTTTAGAGGAAAAAAAATAATTGAAAAAGCTATTTCACAAGTATAAAAAAAACTCTTTTCTTTAAATATAAATATTAATTAATATTCATATTAATAGTACGCATATTACTAGTAGGAAAATTAATTATTAATAGTACAAATATTAATAGCAGGAATATTACTAGTACGAATATTACTAGTACGAATATTACTAGTACGAATATTACTACTACGAATATTAATTATTACGAGTACAAATATTAATAGTAGGAATATTACTAGTACGAATATTACTAGTACGAATATTACTAGTAGGAATATTACTAGTACGCATATTACTACTACGAATATTAATTATTACTAGTATAAATATTAATAGTAGGAACATTACTAGTACGAATATTACTAGTAAGAATATTACTACTACGAATATTAATTATTACTAGTACAAATATTAATAGTAGGAATATTACTAGTACGCATATTACTACTACGAATATTAATTATTACTAGTATAAATATTAATAGTAGGAATATTACTAGTAGGAATATTACTAGTAGGAATATTACTAGTACGAATATTACTAGTAGGAACATTACTAGTACGAATATTCCTAGTACCAATATTAATAGTAGGACTATTACTAGTACGAATATTAATTATTAATAGTACGAATATTAATAGTACGAATTTTACTAGTAGAAACATTACTAGTAGGAATATTACTACTACGAATATTAATTATTAATAGTACGAATATTAAAATTATTAATAGTAAAAATATTAATAGGAATATTACTAGTACGAATAATACAAGTAGGAATATTACTACTACGAATATTACTAGTAGGAATATTAATTATTACTAGTACGAATATTACTAGGAGGAACATTACTAGTACGAATATTACTAGGAGGAACATTACTAGTACGAATATTACTAGGAGGAACATTACTAGTACGAATATTACTAGGAGTAACATTATTAGTACGAATATTACTAGTAGGAACAGTACTAGTACGAATATTAATTATTAATAGTACAAATATAAGTAGTACGAATATTACTAGTACGAATATTACTAGTAGGAACATTACTAGTACGAATTTTACTATTACAAATATTAATAATACGAATTATTAAACAGTAATAAATATTTTCTCTCCGCAGAGAATTGTATTACAATGTTGTAAGAAGAGGATTAATTATAAATAAGCTCCTTTAAAAAGATCAACCGAAATAGAAATCCTGAAGCGAGTTGAAATAATGTGACAAAGCGAAGAAGGCAACGTGATGGCGTTTATATCAAAAAGGAAAATCCAAGATAGTTTTCAAAGAGAGAATAAAAACAGTAGAGGGAAACCCTCCCCCCCCCCCTTTTTTTTCTAGAAATAATCCAATTCTAGTGCGCGCAAGAATCAAATAATATATTTCCTTATCTGAAATCGTTTTCTCGTTCCTATTTTCCTTGAGAATCCGTATAGCAGTGTCGCACATAGGAGAAAAGAACCAATCTTCTATGCGTTACCACTATGGTACACCTCTATACCGGCATCTACATATATATAGACATGCACGTGGAATAATACCGGTAAATCGAGAAATCCTCGCTCTTAACTTTCCACTGTATCGTTTAGTGTGTCGAACAAAAGGACAATGCTCCCTAGAAAATTTACATTTTCGCTATACTGCGGTTCGATATTTCGATGTTTCATTCCACTGCGGGTCCAAGCGGTTTTCTATATTCAAAAAAATATATTTTTTCGAATCGAAAAAAAAAATTTAACTATTTGCAATGGAATTTTCTTCTATGAATAATTAATTTTTGAAAAAAAATTTCTATCTGTGTTTAACTATATCTTACATAACGAATTTTTCTTCCAAAAATAACTAGATTTTGAAAATAATTTCGAGATGAAAAAAGTCTAAAGAGATTCATTTTGAAAATTTTTTTCCAACGTTTCTTTTTTTAAAAAAAAAACTATTCTCCAATACGGTTACATTTTACTGTTTATATAATTATTCTCTTTTATAAATTTATTCATGAGTATTAATTTGTGCTCACTTAATAAAGATTAAAAAGGAGAAATTTCTTTTTAAATATCGTTCTTGTAATAAATCAACATGCAAAAAAAAAAAAAAATTAATAAAACAAGTTTCAAGTTTAAAATGCTTGTATAAAAGTATAATTTTTTTTTTCATTGAATTAAAAATTTTTAATTTGGAGTTAAAAAAAATTTCCACTTGAAAACAAATATTCTGTTTTCAAGAATAATAAAAATAATTTTTGAATTTAGATTTCCTTTACACATAATTTTTTTCCCACATGAAAAATTCTGAAATATACTAAATTCATTGATATAAATTTTTCCTGCTTCTTTTAATTATAAACTGAAAAAAATTTGGTATCAAAAATTAGAAAAAATTAGAATTTAATTCTCCAATTAATTTATATTATGCGAGAGAAGAAAAAGTTCGAAAAAAAAAACGCCTCAAAAAAGTATATTTGACGTAACAAATACATGTCTGATGACTATATGAGGTAGTAACTTTGATCTTATAGGATAAGAGTGGGTTTAACAGGAGTGATCCCTAGTGACCTGTCTACACGACTCTAAAGGGTACTAAGGACTAGTTTGCGAGAGCATTTGAGTAGCATAAAAGAAAACTCCTATGGCACTACAGTAACCACACGATAAAAGTTTCACACCCAAATGGAAATCTTTGATTGAAAAATTTTTTTTCTCAAGAAATAAGATTTTTATCAAGTTTTATTGTCACGGAAAAAAATGTTCAATAAACAAAGAAAAGGACTTTAAAGAAAACTATATAAAAAAAAATTGTTCTAAAAAATCTATATATTTGTAACTTGTGTTACAAGTTCAAAAGACTCGTAAATATTTGTTTGTTTGTTTTTTCATTCAATCAGAAACTTTTGTAATGTTTATTTCTTAAAAAAAAAAGGTAGGTTTCTTAAAAGAGAAGTAAACTTTTGTTTTACTTGTAAGAGAAAATAAAAGATTTATAATACAAATAATACTTGCACTGAGTATATAAACTCCTCGTTAGCTAAATTGCATTAAGCTGAATTAGCGCAAATGTTTTTAAGCTCAACAAACGAAATTTAAAGTCCCTCTTTGTTTTCACTTTCTTTATATTCCCTTGAGTTCTCTTTGTCTTGAATTTAATTTTTCAATCAAGAAATAAAAATTTTGAATTGAATTTGGGGTGAAGGGAAAAAATAGAAAATTCTCATCAAATTCAAGTGGGTTTAAAAAAAAAAAGTATATTTAACGAAAGTGGATGACGAAAGTAAAATATCGACAGTAATTTAGTTAAAAAGTTTACACTAATTTTGTAATTAAGTCTATAATTAAATTGACATAAAGTGAGTTTCATTACCGATAATTCAAGTTAGATAAGAAAGGAAGATTTGTCATGTAAACTTTGCAGAAAGCGGAACTCTCGCCAGTGACTTGCCTCTTCAATTTCAAATTCAAGAAGAGGGTCGAGAAGAGAAGACTTTTATCGCGTGGTACGACGTAAGAGCTGGCAAAAGGCCAAGTAACATCAATTCAATCTTCGTGTGCTCTCTGTGGATGTAAAATTTCAACTGGCCAAAAACCGTATTTCAGATTCCGGTCTTCAACAAAAATCACCTACCAACTTTACCTATATACGAGTATACCTTATTTTCTCCAATCTATTCCAAATACCACACAAAAATTAGATAAAATAATAATTTAATAACGATATCAATATTAAAAATTTTCAATTGTTAATAAAAAATAATAAATTTTAGTGAAGAGAATTTAACTAGAAAGTACATTGAACTGATGTATTTTGATATTTTCAGCATATTCGCAAATAGCGGCTCACACAAAGCGCAAAAGATCATATATATGAAAGTTCGTTCGCTTTTGTTCATTTTGATTTTAATGAGATCCTCCAATGAATCACAGCCATTGAAAAATGTTTCGCGAGGTTTCATCTGTTTCACTAAAACATCTTTGACGAGATTTTCAAGTAGATGCGTATATATTTCTTGTATATATCATTCGGACTTTAGACTACAGTATTCGTGTACTAAACTTTTTGAGAAGTATTTTGCATTTCATTATGTATAAAACATAGTTTAAGGAAAATAACTATTCTCTCCTTTTATGAAAATGTAATACAGAGGAAAACTTTGCAAATGATTATATAAATATCTGTTTTTTGAAACGAATTTCGCAAAATGGAAAATATATATATAAAAAATTACTCACCTTATACGTTCCTAGATCTTTCACTGTACATCCCAATTTTACACTTCGTCCGGCTGGAACTGTTATATTTCCAATCTCATCGACAAATTCTGGATCTGGAACGGTAGACACTGAAAAATAAAAAAAAAAAATTCGATTACAAAAAACATTTAATCGATGCGCTTTCAAAAATTGGATTTTTTGAATAAAATAATAAACTACAACTTATATCATCTAAATAATTTTATTATAAATAAATAAAAATAAATATTTTTCTAAATAAATCATTTAGATGCAACTGGTGTAATTCTGTATAATATTAAAAAATGACTCTCTTTTATGAATCAACTAAGAATATTTTTTTTTGGTGTATAAGTCGAGTTACTTTCAAGGCGAATCGAAGTACTTGGCAAGGCATAAGACTACTAGAAAATTCTCTTTGGTATCACGCCATCACTTACCACTTGCCCTGTTCAAGAGCACTTGACACAACGTATTACCGTATGATTATCTCAACATTTTCTTTATGTAAAAAAAAAATAGTTTTTAACTATTTTTATTTATTATTTAAAAATACTTTATAAATACCTACAGAACTTTGTATTTATTTTTATATTTACTTCCCCGATATATAGTAATATAAAAATCATAGAAAATTATAAGGTATTAAAATAAGCTCCAACGCTTATTATTTTAATCCAATTTTTTGCTTATTTTAATACCAAAATTGTTGCACCTTATTTTAATGCCTTTTAATTTTCTCTGTATTTCGTAAAATGAATTTTTTTTTCTACTATTATTTTAGTCTCTTTAAAGATATTTGAAAAAAAGATCTTTTTAAAGTAAAACCAGCAAAAAGTAAAATCATAAAAAATTATTAATATTATAAAATATTTAAAAGAAAAAATTATTTCCGAATGAGAATGATAAACTTAAAGATAATGGTACATCAGAACTTTCTTTTATATTTATATAAAATCGAAGTCTTTGAAAGGATATACATTAAAATTCAAACCAAGAGAAAGAATAAGAAGACACATGGTTTCCTTTTGAGAGAGCACTCGCTAAAATTTATTATTAACGATGACATATAAAAAAGATACAATTTTCTCCAAAATTTATTATTAATATTATTTTTTATTATTATTATTATTATTAAATATATTTTTTTATATATATGTGACACGGACAGTTAAAAGGGACCTACGGTCCGAAAAAATCGATTTTCATTTTTTTATTGATTCTTATAGTAAATAAGCCGCTATTTCCAACGCATTAAACCGCAGCTTTCTAGCTGCATTAGTTTTTTTTAACAATTTCACTTCAAAGTTAGGTACTTTAACAAAAAAAAAGTACAACAAAATCAAATTTGACAAACTTTTCTAAAATTAATCAAATTTGCTTGAAACTCGTTACTCAGGGGTTTTTGGGGTGGCTGATTACGAATCCGCTGTTAGTTTTTGAAAATTCAAAATGACGGATCCAGTATGGCGGATGACTTTTTTAAAAATTGATCGGATTCGCTTGAAATTCGTTACTCGGGGGTTTTTGGGCTCGCTGATTACGAATCCGATGTTAGTTTTTAAAAATTCAAAATGGCAGATCTAATATGGCGGATGAGTTATTTAAAAATTATACGGATTTGCTTTTCAGAATTTTTAAATGTATGATTTTAATACAAATAGGTATATTATAGTCTTTTAAATGAGCAAACGAAATTTTTGAGTTTTACACAAATTCGAACAAATTTGAAATGTTGTCCTCCATATTGGATCCGCCATTTTGAATTTTTAAAAACTAACATCATATTTGTAATCAGCGACCCCAAAAACCCCTGAGTAACGATTTTCAAGCGAATCCGATCAATTTTTAAAAAAGTCATCCGCCATATTGGATCCGCCATTTTGAATTCTTAAAAACTAACATCATATTCGTAATCACTGACCCCAAAAAACTAACATCATAATCGTCATCAGCGACCCCAAAAACCCCCGAGTAACAAGTTTCAATTCATTAAAACGTTCACAAGCATAAAAATCAACTTGCTAAACTTCAAAGTCGTTTTTCTCGAAATCTTTTTTTCGGATCGTAGGTCCCTTTTAACTGTCCGTGTCACATATATATTTTTTAAAATTCTTCAACCAAGATTTATTTAAATGTTTTTACCAGCATCTAATTAAGATTTGGTGATGGATCAATTTTAATGATGAGTGATGGTATAAAAATCACAAGTTTATCTACCCTCATCCTTGTTTTTCGTCGAATCTGTCTACCACCATGAGAGAGGCGGAAGTGATATCGCCAAGATATAGGCGTTGGCACTTTTTTTCTCTTCTTCTCTCTCTCTCTCTCTCTCTCTCTCTAAAGGAGAACAAGAAAACGAGAGGCTGATAAAGCCAACTCATTGGCCAATGGAATAGACAGACTGCTGTCATTTGTCAGCGTGTGACGACAGAAAAGAGAATGAGAGGGAAAGAGATGAGGAAACGTAATAGAGGTAAACGGTTAACTTAGCCGAGGCTTTTGATTCGATTCGGCAGTGGTGCCCGTATCAGCAGTTTCTAGTGCAGCCCAAGAGAGAGAGAGAGAGAAAATTCGCGGAAGAGGAAAATTGTTAACTGAAAATGCAAACGTAAGGAGGTTCACGGGCTCATGAATGGTAATTAAAAAGATACGCTATTCAACAAATTTTATTCTTGCGATTATAAATTTTCAGTTCAACAAAAATCGAAAAAAAAAAAATTATTCATCGATTTTGAATTATTTTCGCTCATCTTTTTTTTGTCATGTACGAAAAAAAAATCTATCACACACACACACACATGTGAAAATTCACACGCTCAAAAGTGCATTCTTCGATTCTTTATCTCACGTCTCGAGAAAATAAAAGAACGCATGAACGAAAAATACACTTGAATCGAGATAAAATAACGCCTGCCTTATCTTGGATTTAGTTTTTTTTAAGAACTACTCCTTAAAAACGGACATTCGGGTTTCAGAAATGGTCGCATGCATTTCTGATGAACGTTTACACTGAAAGGTTCACTTTTCCTTGTGCCAGAGTCGTGCTGCGATACTGATCTCGATTTTATGAAAACAATTCGGGCGCCCTGCCATGTTTTCAAAAAAAAAAAAAAAAAAAATCACCACAAACGATACCAAACATATAAAAATGGAAGGTTCTCTCAATTTTATTTTCTATACGTCTTTTTTTAAATTTTCTTTAGCCACCTATACCCCTGGGTTTTCGATGGCTTCCCATTCTCTGTAACTGCTCTTTGTGAAGGAAATAACTTTTTACTTTGAATGTATTTTCTTTTGTCATTTTATTCCAAAAAAAAAAGTTCATACAAGGAGGATTAAAATTTCATTATAGTGAATGAAAAGATTACTTTTCATATTCTCATGTATAACCAAATTAGTATATATTACCGAATTTTATCACTGATAGATTTTAATAATACAATAGTTTTATTAATATATTATCATATTAATAATTAATATGATAATTTCCGTGACGATTAATATTTCAACAGTGAATAAATTTCACGAGCAAATGAACAGTTAATGAAAAGGCAAAGAGAAGAATGAAATTTGACAGAACTTGCAAGATATCATCAAAGGCAGTAGGCGATAAGAGAGGATAAAATTCGAATTACCGGTCCTCATTTTTTTTCCTTTTTGTCTTAACTTTCATCTGTGAAGTCTTGCTCTTATTTTCTGGCTTATCGGCTTGAATCTCATAAATTTCGCGGAAAACGCGATTAAGCGAACCTCGACCCGTCCAATCTAAGTATTCAAATGAGCGAACCGACTTACAGCCTTTACGTCGTCAGCTTCTATACATATATAGTTTTTTACAATCGAGTGGCACCCTACCACACGCCCCCAAACCCTTCTTTTAAATTTTCACCTTCAGAGTGCTTGGTGTGTAACATGAAAAAAGTTGAGAGTTCTAAGAAATTGATCTTGAGGGTGCGTACACCACTATAAAGCGAAAAGCCTTTCTAGGTTATTCTCTCATTTATAACCCTTTCGTATCAAAAGTCGATCGAGAATGACGAATTCCATTTACTGTATATATGTGAATTTATTTCACAGTGAAATGGAACATTTTTCATGACATCACTTTTGCGTGTCTCATTTTAATGTCATTATATAAAAAAGCCACACACTGACACAAGTGTTAAATTTTTTTAAGATTAGTTAAACTATCTGGAAAATAAATCGTGAAATATCAAATAAACGAAATCAACAAAAAATTACATTAATTTATTCCCAAAAAAAACAATTTTTCTACAAAAAGCACTATTTTTGGTATAAAAAACAATATAATTTTCTTCTAAAATTTTTAGCAAATATTTTTGCAAATACAAAATGGCTTATTCTAATTATTTTTGGGAAACAGTTTCAGGATCTTCTAGTTAAGCGGATGCTGAGATCCACTAAAAAACAAAGTCGGAAAAAATTCCAAAAAATTAAATTTTATTGATAATTGTTCGGGGATACCACCAATAAAATAAGGAAAAAGTTTCAAAAAAAAAATGTATGGCGCACTTTTTGATTGGTCCAGCGGATGCTGAGCTACACTCACTAAAACTGGGAAAAAATTATCGAAAAAAAAAAATTTGCCAGATAATGACTCGGGAATAATGCCAATAAATTGAGCAAAAAGTCTCGAACAAAAAATGTATGGCGCACTTTTAGATTGGTCCAGCGGATGCTGAGCTACACTCACTAAAACTGGGAAAAAATTTTCGAAAAAAAAAATTTGCCAGATAATGACTCGGGAATAATGCCAAAAAATTGAGCAAAAAGTCTCGAACTAAAAATGTATGGCGCACTTTTTGATTGGTCCAGCGGATGCTGAGCTACACTCACTAAAACTGGGAAAAAATTTTCAAAAAAAAAAATTTGCCAGATAATGACTCGGGAATAATGCCAAAAAATTGAGCAAAAAGTCTCGAACAAAAAATGTATGGCGCCCTTTTTGATTGGTCCAGCGGATGCTGAGCTACACTCAAAAATAATTTGGAAAAATTTTCAAAAAATTAAATTTGAGAGATAATTGTTTGGGAATACCACCAAAGCCATTAGAAGAAAGTTCTGAACAAAAAATGTATGGCGCACT